CAAATAGGCTTCATCCTAATAATTCAGGGGTGGTTCCACATATGCAAATCAATAAATGCAACTCATTACATAAACAGAAGGATAAAAATCATACAATCATCTCAATTGACACAGAAAAAACCTTTGACAAGATCCAACATGCAATCATGGTTAAAAAAAAACTTGAAGAAAATAAATACAGAAAAACCTTATCTCAATATGATAAAAACCATATATGACAATCCAATAGCCAACATTATATGGAACCAAAAGAGATCCATAATAGCAAAAACAAATCTTGGCAAGAAGAGCAAAGTAGGAGGCACCACAATCCCAGACTTCAAGTTATACTACAGAGATACAGTAAGTAGCTGTACATAGTATACAGCTATAGTGATTATTGAGCCAAAACATGTCCTGGAGGAAAGATAGCCCCTAACAAATAGTGCTGGTAGAAATGGCTAGTCACTTGCAGAAAATTAAACCTAGACCCATATCTCTTCCCGTGTACTAAACTAAAATAAAAATGGATCAAACATCTAAATATCCCTATAGAAGCAATCTGCTGGAAGATAAAATAGGTAAAACTCTTGAAGATATAAGTATAAGCAAGGACTTTCTGAACAGAATCCCAATTGCACAAAAAATAGTACCAAGAATCCACAAGTGGTATCATATCCAATTAAAAAGTTTCTGCACAAAAAGAAAAATAAGCAATGAAATTAAGAAATATTTCACAGAACGGCTTTTTGGCAGCTATTCTTCAGATGGAGGACTAATGTAGAGAGCATACAAAGAACTCAAAAAAAGTAGACCCTCCCACAATAAAAGGCTCAATCAAAAATGGATGACTGAAATGAATACACATTTCTTAGAAGAAAACATATGAATGGCCAGTAAGTTCATGAAAAAATGTTCAGAGCCTATAACCATTAGAGAAATGTAAATTAAAACAATACTGAAATTGCATCTTACTCCAGAAAAATGGTTATCATTAAAAAATTAAATAATAACAAATGTTGAGAAGGTTGTGGTTGTAAAGGAACTCTCCTCCACTGTTGGAAGGAATGTAAACTAGTACAATCACTGTTGCAAAAAACTAAAACTAGAAATTCCTTTCAACCCAGTTATGAAGAAGGATGAAATAAAGCCATTTTTAGGAAAATGAATGGAATTGGAGGATATCATTTTAAGCAATTTAGCTAGACACAGAAATATAAGTACCACATGTTTTCTCTCATATGTGGAAATTTAAAAAAAGAAAAAAAAGATGATCATAAAGTAGGTGGGTACTATTACTAAGAACTCGAAAAAAGAAAGGATAAGAGAAAAAAGCAGGTGAGACATGGTAAAGGGAGAGAGGACATGATCAGCATAAAGCATGCATACATGGAAATGGCACGGTGAAATCCATTAATCTTTTATAATTAGTGTATGTTAATATTTTTAAATAGCTGAGGATTTAGCTCAGAAACATAAGCGCCTGCCTGGCAAGCGCGAGGTCGTGAGTTCGATACCTGGTACCAAAAAAAAAAAAAATTTAAATAAGCAAAAAGTCTCTTCTGAAATGGGAAAGATGTAAAATTGCTTCCTAGGATTCTACTTACATGTCTTCTTTCATTCAGAATAAGTGAATCTGGGGACAGGAGGTATAGTTGAGTGAGAAACAGTGTTTTCAAAAAAGAACTACTACCAGCATCACCTCAAAATCAAAGGGTACGTAGGCTACATTCCCAAGTCAGCTGTTACTGTGGCAAAATATAACTTAAAGGAGGAAAGATTTGTTTTGATTCCTAGTTTCAGAGGCTTCAGTGCATGGTTGGTTGGTTCCTGTGGTAGGACTGAACATGATGGCAGTGTGTTTGACAGAGAGAATCTGTTCACCTCGTGACAGCCAGGAAGCAGAGGGGGAGATAGCCTGTGTGACAGATTTCCTCTGTGTTTGTTCTACCTAGGACCACAGCCTATTGGATGGTGCCACCCACATTCAGGGTATGTCTTCCTATTGTTTCTGGAAACATCTTCATGGTTACAGACACACCCAGAAGTATGCTTTACAAACTTCCTAGGTGTTTCTCAATTCAGTCAAGTTAGCAATCAAGATTATCACACAAACCAAATCATTGAATGATAAGCTCCCAACTGTGGCCTCTTTGGAAATGGGGTTCATAAGCAAGTAGTGTGGATCCTGTTGAATTATTTTCCCATGTGATAAAACTTTTCCATTTTCTAGGCCACTCTTACGATAGTCTTTCTAAATTCTACCCATACGCCAAGACTAAATTCACATTTTATCTCCTCTCTTAAGTTTTCCTGATTAGTCCTCTAAGTCAAAGTGTATTTGTGTCTTACATCTAAACTCCTCTGTTAGACTGAAAAGTCCTTAAGTCCAAGACTCTAGTCTACATTCAGTCCCAAGCTGATCCATAGTATATACATGATACTTTTGAATAAAATAGAAACATCTAATATAATGATACTTAGAAAACATTAATTATTTACCAGGCTGACACAGCCATTCATAGATTATGAATATCTGTAGGTCATACATAAGCACACCTAGAAAGGCTGGTACCCAAATAGAACATTTAAGTGCATCAAAATGAATAATCATTCATGTGATGTGGTAGAGTGTTTCATACAAGAACTGGGGAGATTAGCCAGAGGACTTCCATGCCTTTTCCAACTCCAAATTTCAACATAACTGCCAGATTCTGTTTTCTGTTGCTATATTAGAATGCTCACTAATTTGATTGCTTATAAACAATGGAATATCTTTGGCTTACTTTGAAGACTGGGAAGTCCAAAAGCATGGCACCAGCATCTGGCAAAGACCTACATGTTGTATCATAACACAGTAGAAGGACAAGGAAGCACAAAACAGAGAGAAGAAACTGATTGAACTAATCCTTTTTATTAAGAACTCGATCTCCTAAGATAACAGCATGAGTTCATTCATGAAGATAAAGCCCTTTATGACCTCATAATTTCTTAAAGATCCCATCTCCTAATACTACAATGGCAATTAAATTTCAACATGAATTTTGGATGAGACATTGAGGAGGTTTGCCTTAGCTGGATAATCCTGTTTTGGTACTGTCACTAGAGATACTATCATTCTCACAGTTAACTCCAGAAATTTTCTCAAACAATGTGATTATAACACAACCAGCTTATAGCTTCTAAGGAATGCACCACTGGACCTTCTAATTCTGATTTATTACACCTTTACTTCACATGATCATCACAAACACCTATGGCCTAGGAAGGCTACAAAGTATTTGGAAAATGAACTGTGTAACATTCAGAAAGTGTGTGTGTCAAATTTGTATTCCCTTGCTCTGTGTTCTTGGTGTCCCTCAGCATTGACCAGACCAAGCAGAGTCTGTAGATGATTTTCCTAGCAGTTGACATCGCTTCCCTGTCCATTTAACTTCCAGTCACAGCACACACACTCTGTGTTGAATATGCAAATTCATATACAGCAAACTCTGAAGGGATGAAAATTAGCACTCTAATAGGAACATGTCACAATGTACTTCTTTATTCTAGTTATTTTACTCCTTGCAAAGAAAAAGTAAAAAATACAATAGCAGATTTATTTTCACTAATCATAATACAAAAATTTTGAGGGGATATTAATGTGATTTCTCCAGCTAGGCAGTATTTCCATATATCCTACATACTAAATTCTGATTAGCAAAAATTACTTAAAGTAATCCAAGCTAATCAAAAATCAAGTTTTCCATTTTAAAATTATTTATACTGTTTTCAAAAGCATCTTGTTATCACTGGAGAAAGGTGATCTCTTTGGCTATCTGTGGAAGTAAGTACAAGACAAAATCACCAAGTCACCTTCCATAGTAAACAAGCAAGTACGTGGGAGAACAATCAATTATTACTGTTAAAAAAGCTTCTCTTGTGACATCACTATCAGTCTAGATAGAGAAGATGCAATATTATTTGTTGCTTGTATGTGAATATACTAAAAAGTATATCCTAATAAGGTTGCGATGAATCCTGCAAAAAGACAGACCCAAGCTCCTTTTAAAGGACTAAATATTGTGAAAATCTTCTGGGTTTCCTTGAAAATAACAAATTGAGGCTTCTGCAGCCCAGCACATGCTAGATTATTTATTAAACATCTGTAAGATTAAATTAGCTCAAATATCCCCTAAGTTTGGTTCATTGAACACTGTGAAGTCATCTATCTGCTCACAAAATGAGGAATTAAAGTAGTAACTTCATTTGCTATAATTTTGGTTCACTAATACCAAGACAAGTCACCAAATCAGACATGTTATGGCACCCTCAATAATCCGCTGAAATCTATAAAGGGGGAAAGACAATTTTAATTTTCCTGCTGAAAAATCACCAGCCAAGGCATGGAAAAATCCCAAACCTAGTGCCTCTGCTTTCTTTAGCCAGCCTGCTGGCGTCCTGGCAGACTAATTTGGAAACCATGATTAATCCCTTGGTAAACAGAAAATAAGCTCTGAAGCCAAAAGAAGCCAAACCTGAGTCACTCTCTGGAGGCTGCACATTTGGCTGGTCGAACTCTTCCTTCTCATCCAGGAGCTGCTTTCAGCAAACAGAAAGGCCTTGCTGTGGTGACAGAGGAACCCAGTGAAGCAAAGACCAAAACATCATTGTAAGTGACGGCTTAACCTGGTGCCCAGTTTTATGCAGGGATCACCATGTCCTATGCAGTTCAAATTAAATTGGCTATAGCCCCATCCTACATGGAATGGAAAATTGGGGGCGGTTGTGGGAAGCCGCCTATGAATGGCGCCCATTTCCTGCTTCCGGGTTCTTCCCGGCCTGAACAAGCCCGCCAAATTGTCATATCTGCCCAGTTACCCGTGACACTAGCCTATCAGCTTGTTAGGCGCGCTTCTCTGTGATTGGATACTGCTTCCCCTTATAAGAGGTTGTTCCTGCCCCCAACGGCGGAAGAGGAACCAACGTTGAGGGTGGCGGACCTTGTTAGGTCCGGTTCGCTGTACGCAATAAAGTTTGAGAGCTGATCCTGCTCGAGTTTGGCCTCCTGTCTCCCGCGGCTCCGGTCATCTGGTGGCCCGTACGGGGAGCTGATCACCCCCGAGACGTGGCAGTGGACAACGCTCCAACGCAGAGCTGCAAGACAGGTGAGTAGAGGATAAACCTGGGCCCTGGGTGGCGCGCACCTACAGGGTTTGTAGACTCCTCTCAGGCTCATGCGTAAGTGGCGGATTCCTTGGGCCTCACGCGGTGAGTAACATATTAAAAAATGGGAAACATGCTAGGTAGCGGCACTAAGTGAGTGCCTCTCCCGCCAAAAAAAGAAGAAGAAGCAAAAGAAGCAGAAGAAGCACGCAAGGAGCCGCAGAGAGCGGACCGGTAGAGGCTTCGGGACAGACTGTAGGAAGAAGCCCGGAAGGAGCCGCGGAGAGCGGACCAGTAGAGGCTACGGAGCGAAGCACGGAAGGAGCCGCGGGGAGCGGACCAGAGGAGGCTTCAGCTGGGAGCGATCCCAGGGCAGGCTGTACGGAGAAGGAAAATAAAAGAAAAGGTTGTCCACTGCCAGACTTTGTTGTGTGTCCTTCCTGCCGGCCGGGAGTGACACCGACATCTGGTGGCCCCCGTATGGGGAATAAAAGACTCAGCGACGTGCCTCTTCGGCCGGGAGGTGCGATTGCGGTCGCCTGCGGTACGACGGAGGACCTGGCCCAATAACAACGGAAGGCCCCGAGCGCCTCTTCTCTTCACCCTGATCAGCTACGTGAGATACAGCGGTTCCCGGGACAGGTGAGTACTGGGTCACCTGGGTTGGGTGGACGCACCTAACAGATTTTGAGCGCCACACGAGTGGACGCTGGGTTTTTTTTTTTTTTCTTTTCTTTTCCCTTTGCATCTGTTTTGCTTTCGCTTCGCTAATACAGCCCGACAGGCTTTTGAGCTCGATCGGAATGCTCAGAGGAGCCCGGAGCCACTGCCGATTGTGGGTCTCCGGAGGACCCTCAGGGCTCTAATTCTGATTTGGATTCGGAAGGCTCAGAAGAGGAGGTCGTCTTTGCTAAGCATGACCCTCCTACACCATTAAAAGAGGAACTTAGGGCTCGGGAAGATAAAAAGGGGAACCAAACACCACCCTGCCCGAGCTACTCCGCCTTACGGGAAGAGCTTAAGCCCTTCCGCCCTTTGGCAAGTTCACGACCCATGATCACCCCTTTCAGGGCGCCAGGCCCCACTGCACCGCCGTGGCCGGAAGAGGAGTTGCTCCCTGGGCTGCCACCACATCCCTTTGAGTGTTCCGATCTCCATGCATTCCCGGTACAAGTAGGAGGCAGGGGAGGAGGAGGATATTATGAGCCCTTAGAAATTAAACAACTTAAAGCTATCAAGGACGCAGTTTCAGCTTATGGGCCCAATGCGCCATTTACCATGGCGCTTTTAGAGGCATTGGCAGGTCTGCTTTTAACTCCTGGAGATTGGACCCAGCTGGCACGCGCCTGCCTCTCCCCCGGACAATATTTAGATTGGAAGTCCTGGAATGAGGAATTCTGTGTAGAGCAGGCGGCAGCCAACAGGGAAAATAACCAGAGAGAGTGGAACAGGGATATGCTATTAGGGCGAGGAGCCTTTGAGGAAGATCAAACTCAATACCCTCGCCAGGTTTATGAACAAATTAGCCGCTGTGGCCTCCAGGCCTGGAGACGGCTGGCTGGAAAGGGAGAACATACGGGTCACCTTACAAAAATTATACAAGGGCAGGGAGAGCCATTTTCAGACTTTGTGGCCCGCATGCTTGAGGCCGCTAACAGGATTTTTCCAGATGCTGAGGCGGCTCACCCTCTCATAAAACAATTGATTTTTGAACAGTGCACTAAGGAGTGCCGTGATGTCCTAAGAACTAACAAAAATAGGTCCTTAGAAGAGTGGACACGCCTGTGCCGTGAATTGGGTGGCCACGGCCTAACGCCCAAAGGAAGAATATCATTGGCACTCTTTACCATAAATTTTTTAAATCTTAATCACAATAATCATTCCCCTGCCATGGAGCACAATAACCCGTCCCCGGCCGACAAAGGGCTGGTGAGATGGAAAGATGTCCTTACAGGACAATGGATGGGCCCGGATCCAGTGGTTAGCTGGACCCGAGGCGCGGTTTGTGTTTTCCCACAGGAACCAGGCTGCGAACCGCTGTGGGTCCCGGAAAGATTGACGCGAGCAGGAAACTCCCCACCAGTTCCTGATAAAGCACAGGAGGATAAGCCCGCGGACACAAGTCAACTCGACCCTTCTGGGACCGATGCTCAGCGCCCGAGACCATCTACAAACTAAAATGTCTGGTTTGGAGTTTTTTCTATTCTGTGGGTTCCTATTAATCACCCCTGTGATATGCTCAGATTCCACAGAACCACCACAATATCTTTGGGGTCCTTGGCACCACCCGCCTACATTGGCACCTTTTTCGGCGGCCTCGCCCGCCTCACCCAGGGTTTACACCATCAATCAAACAGTCCTTGATTATGCTAATTGCCATGGCTATCCTAGTAGGGCTTGTGGTTATTAAATGCTTGTTAGATCGCCTCATACAAACTCAGCAGCAGGTTAAGATCACGGCTATGACAGCGATGCAAATGGCAGCAGGTGGCCCATCAGGCCAGCAGGCCGCCGCATATCTCCTTCACATTGCAGAACATCAGTTATAAAAGCTGATTGGGCAAGCCAATGACAGGTAAGACGGGAAAAGCCCTCCCGGTCAACCTAAGACAGGCTCCACTCAGATATACATGGCCTATAAGGCCAGGGGTCCCTTCTGGAGTCAAATTATTGGCATTGAGATGCGAGACCAAGGGTACTGCAGTGCCATCCGCCTCAAAGGTTGGGGGGAAGGCAGGAATGAATGTCTATATGCATCCAGGTTCGGTTCACAAAAGCCTGGCCCTGCGAAAAAATGAACCACTCACCTTGAGCATGGTCCTGGTGCAAGGATATGCACAAAACAGGGTGATGCACAGCAGGGTATAGACCTCTACATTCTCTCATGCCTCGGCCTACAAGGTAGGCCCACTCCTAGGTGTCTAACAGCAACAAGGTCATAGACACCTTGGAGGGACCTACAGACCATCCTATTTTAATAAATAAAAAAGGGGGAGATGTGGGAAGCCGCCTATGAATGGCGCCCATTTCCTGCTTCCGGGTTCTTCCCGGCCTGAACAAGCCCGCCAAATTGTCATATCTGCCCAGTTACCCGTGACGCTAGCCTATCAGCTTGTTAGGCGCGCTTCTCTGTGATTGGATACTGCTTCCCCTTATAAGAGGTTGTTCCTGCCCCCAACGGCGGAAGAGGAACCAACGTTGAGGGTGGCGGACCTTGTTAGGTCCGGTTCGCTGTACGCAATAAAGTTTGAGAGCTGATCCTGCTCGAGTTTGGCCTCCTGTCTCCCGCGGCTCCGGTCAGGCGGTGATAGAATGCTTGCCTGGCATGTGTGACTCCCTAGGTTCGATCTCCAGGTTGCGTGAGTGTTAAATTGTTGCCGCTGCCCCATGTGGGCACGTCTTGAACTTCTTTGCTATCCACACCTCACTTTAACCTTTCCAAAACAATAATGATTCAGAGTTCTGGGTAACTAACTGGTATGAAAAATTCAAGGCAATGCAAAAAATTTTCATACAGACATCAAAAAACAATTTAAAAGTAAAATCAATAAATATCTTTATTTTTACAAGCCCTTCGACAACCACGGCCCCAGATAGTATTGGCTGCTGTCCCTATCCTCGGGCTCTGGCCTCCTGCTATGCCTGTACTTTCTCTCCTTTCACTCTTCCCTTCTCTCTTTCTCCAGCTAATCACTTTCCCAAATTCCTGTCACTTCACTACATAAATGTAACTTTGATTTTCTGGTCTCTTTGTAAGTTATGTCCTCATTTTGAACTCTTAAAAATATTTTTTCTAAATGAAGACATCCTTTTCCTAAGAGGAATTTATGGACAGGTGTTCAAATACATTTACACACATACACACTTAACTGTTGGCGTTCCGCAAACACAGAAACAGTTTTAAGCTCCCAGAGGGTGTGCCCAAAGGACTAGAACAGGAAACCTGGGGCGAATGAGAGGTTTTTAGAATGTGTTTCTATTTCTATATACTAGTATTGTTTTACTTTTCTAGAGTGCACTGTGCTGACTGGAAATACTAAGGAGTCTCAGTTGCTGTATAACTGAAGTCAGGTGCACTGGAGCAAATCTGGTTCACATCATTGCTTTCTCCTGGTCACACATTGTCTCAGCCTCAACTTTTGTTCTTGCTCTGTCACCCTTGCTGTCCCTTTTTGCTTCCCAGAATGCTTTTCCAACTTCCACCTCTTGAATCGAATGCATTCTTCAAGGTTTTATATGAAGTCTCTGAGATAGTGGCATTTGCTTTTATTCTTTCCCTTATTTACATAGGGATTTCTTCTCTAATAGTGGTTTGTGCGGCCCATTCTTATTATTTCCCTAGATTAACAAGGATAGTTCTATGCAAACAGTAGGTGCTTACTAAGTGCTTGTTAAACTGAATAAAATCAATCATACAGTCTCTGAGCCACAGTATAATTAACAGCAGTCCTCCCTTATTTAGTTACTCTTTCCATGGCTTCAATTACCTGCAGTCAACAGCAAACTAAAAATCTTAAATGGAAAACTCCATAAATAAACAATTTATAGATTTTTAGTTGTGTACCATTCTGAGTAGTGTGCTGAAGATCTCAGGTATACCATTCTTGTCCTGCCTCAGATGTAAATCATTTCTTTTCCAACTTACCCACCCTATATATCATACACACCTGTGCATCATTCACTAGCTGACTAGATTATGAGACTGACTGTCAGTATCACAGTACTGGCTTCCAATAGCCTTTATTTCACTTCATAGTGGCCCCAGAGAATAAAACGGTGATGCTAGCAATTCAGATATGCAAAGAGAAATTGTAAAATGCTTCAAGAGGTGAAAATTTGCAGTAAGAAAAAAAGAATTATCTGCTGAAGTTGCTATAATCTATGATAAGAAAATATCTATCCAAAAAAGTATGAAGAATAAAAAGTTGTATTAGTTTTGCTGTCACACTGGGAAGTGCAGAAGTTATGACACAGTGCCTGAGTGATAAGTTAAAACAAAAAGTCACTATATGATTAGGGTTCAGTACCGTCTGCAGGTTCAGGAATCCACTAGGAGTCTTGAAATGTTTCTCCCCACGGATAATGGGAAACTATGGAAAATGCAAACATCAACCCTGCAACCCTCAGTGAGGTCAGTCAGGGAAGCCTGGATCCCTGAAAATAACATTGTGCCAGCAATGTAGGCAGTTTCTAGCTGCAATTTGATGTCCATCTTTTTGTAGCCTTGGTCCACTCATTCTCTGAGCACTGCTTATTCATCTATGATATAATGAAAATGCTCAGCTCATATAATAGTTGTACAGATTAAATGGCAATATACATATATACATTTATATATTTATACATAGAAGGGTAAATATTAATATTTTCATTAAATTAATATTTTCATATCATATATATGACAGTGATTTGAGAAGCATTACACATGACTCAAATAATAAGTATTAGGGTATTCCAGATATCCTAAGAAGATGACTAATATTTATCAAGTAGCATTAGTGGTACACAGAGTCTTTTCATTTTTATTTTGAAGAAGTTTCTCAAAAATAAATACCACTCTTATTTCTTTAGAACATTTACTTATCTATGAAAGAAGCTTTATTTTGGCCTTCTCATCTATGCAAATCTTACCCATAAGCAAAATGCCTCCTGTTTTTTCTTTCTCCTCCCAAAAGGATTTGTTTCCTTTCCTGCGGGATTAGTTATACAAAACTCAAAGTATATAAAGGCCATCTTTGATGCTAAATTTATGAAAATTATCCCACTTTAACATTTAATGGCAAAATGTGTTAGGGAAAATTTTTCGATGTGGCAAATCTCACCTAGCACAAAGAAATCACTATATTAAAAGTTTTTTTAAAATAATAGAAAGTATAAGAATCTAATAAATTTTCAGGTACTTTAGCCTACATTGTTTTTGTTCCTTTTTTTTTTTTCCTGGTATGTGTTCGTTTCTGTGGGTGCTGAGACAAATTACCAAAAATTCAATGGCATTTAATAACAGAAAGTCATTTTTTTATTGCTCTAGAGACCCAAAATTTGACATCAGCTTCTCTGCACAGAAATAGAAGTGTCAACAAAGACACGTGTATCTCTCTTCCTACTTTGCAGAGAATCTATTCCTTCCCTTTTCCAGCTGCTGGTGGCTGTTGGCATCTTTGGGTTGTATCTGTATCACTGCAGGATCTGCCTGTGGTCAAAATGCTTCCTTTTCTGTGAGTCATCCCCTCTGTCTCTTCGAAGGACACTTGTGTGATGACATTTAAGATACCCTTCAGAAATCTCTTGTATCCAGATCTTTAAGCACACTTGCAAAGTATCTTCTTTATAATAAGGTAATATTTATAGGCCCCTGAGATCAAAATATTGGTATCTGGGGAGATGCTATTTTCACACTACCACAACATTGGTTCTCAAGTTTTAGCATTCATTAGAGTCAACTGGGTTCTAATTTATCAAAAAAAAAAAAATTGCTAGACTCCATTCCAAGTGCCTCACTCAGGAAACCCGGGGTAATGCCCAGATTCTGAAACACTAATAGATATCCAAGTGAGCTGGTGCTGCTGGTCCTTCTACGAGCATCACTAGTTTGACTTATCAGTCTTTAAAAATGTTCTTCCTGTTTAGTTTTCCCACCTTAATCTATATGTTGCCAAAATTTCTGTCAGTCTTTTGTATGTATTGTAATATCACAGCTGACAAGAGAAACAATGCAGAGGCACCCATATCTTCTCTCGGATACTACTGGCCTTCCTTTTTTTAGAACTCTGCAGTTAGACATGTCTGGATGTTTCCTTTTCTAAAGACTCTCACTGGTTTTTATGAAAGAAGTATAGGGTAGTTAGTACAATTTCCTTAACTTGGCATGCAAGCTCTTCCAAAATACAACCTTAATCCATGTCTTTAATTTGCAGCTAGTTTTTTTGCAGCTCCCTCCACTCACCTCTCCAAATACAAGACTTCTTCGTATGGTTTTAGCTACGGTATCTTCATATCACCTATCCATAGCTCCATCTCTGCCAGTCAAAATCCTAATGTTCCATAAAGTCCACACCATCTGCCTAGCATCCTGTTCAGATCAATATGGTCCCTTCCCCTGCACTGAACTCTCTAGGGCACTTTGTAAGCATTTTGTGATAATTAATATACTCTCCTTTAAATTGTAATTACCTGTGCACCTTCTACTTGACCCATGGATTGTAAACTGCTTAGAATAAAGATTATTCTTGTTTATTTTCATTTCATATGTGACACTCATAGATGTTTACAAATTAGGCAACAGAATTTTTTCTGCTTTTAGCCCTTCACCTCTGCTCTAATCTCTGTAGTTGAAGGTCATACTGCTGCTGTGCTTGTGTCTGCTTTGGTGGCTCAGCCACACATTTCTTCAGGGAAGCTGCTCCCAACCCACCTCTCGTCTATGTACTTCTTATGCTGGCTGTCAAAGCGCCTCCACATGAAACCCATCATCCTCCCTCCCACTTCCACAGATGTCAGCCCCTTTCCTATGATTTTTAAATTAGCTTCTAGAGAAAATAAGCCCCTTCCTCGCAAGCAGAGAAGCTGGGGATATGCTGTCCTGGGGGAAAAATAGGATCAAAAGGCTGAGGTTAATGTGCAAAGAGAAATAATGAAAGGGGACACATGAGTCCTTCTGTCAGCAGATTCCCAGGTTCTGTGGTTCCTTCCTTTTTGGTGGTTTCATAATATGAGCTAATAAGGTTGCTACTTTACCTCCTGTGGCTCATTAGATTCTGTCACTGGCAGTCAAAAGTTCTACCTAATAATCCACGTGAAGGATAGAGGGACTCATTACCCTTTAATAACCCTTGTAAGAAAAGTGATGACTTCCTTGTCCTGATGAGTAAGGTAAACCACCATGTTAGGGACTTTCTAATCCCGTGAATATACTGGACCATACAGTGTCCTTGAAGATATTAGGTACAATAGAAAATCACAAATCACTGATTGTGGTGAACCTAAGACAGCAGAAACAATAGAAGAGTTTAGAGAAAATTTCACAGAAACTTAACGAGAAAGAGCAATATGATTAATTTTACTTTCAAATGCATAAAACAGCCTAGGGAAGTTAGATAGCTTTTAAAACATGATTCAATCAACAGGGGACAAAAAGAACTACTACTCTCAAATGAATGATTAATAAAGAGTGAGGGTCAGTAAATAAAGAAATATATTTAGAAAATTGGAAAATCTACCAAAAGAAATTTAACCACACAAAAAGCAACTCTCCCAAAGCCTTTAT